ATAAATGTTTCAACTTTGTCTGACATTTCCAAATCAACAGCTCGAGGAATAAAATTGCCCTTACTTTCAGAGTCCGCTGGCAACGTCATGAGGAAAATATTGTGGGTACCACCTCTCACAGACGAGAGATAGTAACTAAGCACTTAATGCTGTGAGGCAAGTTTTTATGGGTGTAATTATTGTCTTACGTCTTCTGAAATTATCCTACTATACAAGTTGAAATAATAATAAAAAGTAATAGAGAAATATGGAGCAAGCCACTGGTGCCAGTGTTATGATGAATCTTATGATGTCATATATTTAAGACTTTTGTCACTGGTTGCTGTCAAAACACAGTTATTTCCATCAAGAAGTCCTTAGAAACAGGGTGACTGGCCCATGCTAAGGCCCATGCTCTGCCATTCATCACTTGGTGGACAAGTGTACATCATCAGCAGTTCCATTGCCGCATGCTGCTTACATGTAATATATGCTTGTACATGAAGACACAGGTTTGGAAAAAAAGAGAGAGAGAAACAAGAGTGAAAGATATTAGACCCTTTTTCTAGCCTCAGTACCTAAGCAATCATTTTTGCACAGCCAAGGGCATAGAGTGTGGTAAATTCATGTTTCCCACACTTTTAATTTTTCTCATGTGTGGCAGACTACCTACACCCCTGTACATGGTTCCGTTTGGCACAGAGGGCTCCCATCTTGAGTAGGTTAATCCAATGCCTCTTGAGCTGAATAAAAGAGCAAAAGGCTTACCAAAAGGATTAAAGTCAGTTCCTACATGTAAATACGGCTGCATTGGCCACAATGGCAGCTGGCCATAGGTTTTAATGCCATATAAAGCCCTGATTCGTGGCTTTGATACAGGTAAGTATGAAATAATAAGGCTAAAAAGCTATTTCACAGCATTAATTCCCACAAAGCATCCATCAACTATACCAGTCCACATGATAGACAGGATAATATATTAGAGATAATAGTGGCAAGACACATGTCCCCAGTGAGATGGCCATTCTCATGACATGACATACATACCATCCAGAGGCAAAGGATTAACAATAGTGTATTGAGAAGCCAACATGGCATCAACCCACTTACGATGGGTGTCCCACATATGACACCCGGAAAAGTAAACATTGCCGGGCGTCCCGCCAGTGCGATGCTAGATCGGAGCTTGTGCTATGATTTTGTCACCTGTGGCAAGCAGCGTGTGGGCGAGTCTGGCAACCTGCCCGATTTTGAAGTCGCCCGGCTGTATTAGTTTTCGGCTTATAAAAGTACCGTCACTAATGGGTTAACACCAATAATGCTTTTGATGTTCACAACACCTGCCAAGATGACAAGGTGGTTCTCCTGTACAATCATTAACCCCCTGGATCCTGATGATGTTGCGATCATATCAAGAAAAAATTTGGGCAGCTATTCGGATGACGTGAACAAAGCATCAAGAGCAAAGGCCAGGGTGATGGAAAAGACTCGCCACAGTGCACAAACCACTTGGAGTGTGATATGACTCATTTGGCACTTAGGAGGGGGCTTTAGCATTATTCCCATTAACAAGCAAGTGTGGAATGTAACGTGCATAAGCAATGACTGGAAGAGCACCGGCTCCAGGAAGGACACCATTTCCATGCTGCACACTGTATTCCTGGCCACTGTGACCGGCGGCACAGGTTGTATTACGTAAAATTGAAAATTACAAAGAAGAAGAAGAAGAAGAAGACACAAATAACCAAATGTTCCATATTTTTTTCTTGCATTGAGCTATTTACTACACAGAGAGATGATATGGAGTCTGTGCATGGAAAATAAGTAATTACCATCTAGATAAAGCAAATCAAAAATAAATATGGACATTGGAAAATGGCAATAAAGCTAAAAAAGTTTTCACAAAATAACTTTTCAAAGGGCAGGCACAGAGTCTTGACACCGCTCATGGGTGTTCATGCGCACCCAGCCTACACGCCACACGCCCGGGATGCTGGCCACTTACGTAACCATTGCAACTTGATCCAGGGGGTTAAGCAATAATGTATAGTCCAGTTATAATTACATTTTTGAATCCCATGACTTACTTCGTTATTAAATGTAACATTATTATGAAGCCAAATACATGAATCTTTTTCATAGAAACTCTCAGGAAAAAACCTGACAAGTGCACAGCCTCTTTGCGCTGGTAACACCACAATGCACAAGCCAAAAGATTTAAAAAGTGTGTAGAAATTCAATAAAAGACAAATCTATCCAAATTTAAGACTAATAAACTCAAAGGAGAGGAGCCAACAGCTATAAATGTCAAGACACTAAAGGAATCTCTATTTTTCCCCCCTCATTGAAACACTTTTTCTGCCACATCAGAGTTATGGTCCTATGGTATGAAGACTCTAATGATACTGTAACAAAAAAACTGTGTGTGTCCCTGTGTCCCTCCCATATTAGAAATACTCCATCAAAAGTACCACTCTAAGCTAAAATAATGCCTCCTCACACTTTAACATTGATTTAAAAGTTTCAAAGGGATGTAAATCTAAAATCTTTTCCTTAACCCAATGGTATCATGTTATCACACTGTCTACTGTCATTTTCTCTTTGTGAATTTCATTTGCACATAGATAGCTCCACAAATACTAAGTCACCAAAGAGCAAATTACTAAGCCTACATGTCTCACTTGATTTCCCATTTTTTTCTTCCTATGCTATTTATATCAATGCTGTTATTATTACTGGTGACATTATGATGATATGTTATTAACAATACTAATAGCAATAATAATAATAATAATAAAAAAGTCTCATGAAAATTACGGAAAAGGGTTGACAGGTGAGCTAGGCAGGACTAGTAATTGACTCCTTGGTGATTAAGTACCTGTGCAGCCATCTATGTGTAAAGGCAATCAATAAATGAAAAGATACAGTAGATATGGCATGAATTCTTAGTAACCTAACAACAGTGGGTTCATTTAAAAACTCTGACCAGATCATAACATTTGGCTAAATGAACACTTAGATGAGAAATATGCAAAAACATAGATACATACAAATTCATATCTATCTCTATCTCTCTTTGGATAACTAACATAGATACAGATGAACAGAAAGGCAGCATGGATAGCAGAGCACTATAAGTGCACATGCACACACCCACACATACATACATCTATCTTTAAAAACATAAAACTTGGACTGACCTCATCATCCTCACTCTCCTGCTCTTGCTCCTGCTCTTCCTCAGGAGCATCGCCAGTAGCAATGTCTTCCTTCAAATCAAAAGTAAGCATTTCATCACCAAAGGTCTTCTTCTTGATGGCACGTCCACTTCTTCTTACAGGAGACTCATCGACAGTCGATTCCTCAGCAGAAAGGACTGCCTTCCTGGAAGGTGTCACAGCATTCTTTGCTGGTGTTTTAAGCAACTGTTTTACAGGCTTTTTCTCTGGCAAATGGCTTTCTTTCTTCTGCTGGATGGTTTTCCTTGGAGATGGTACATTATTCCTAACTGGAGTGGTCTCCAGTTTTCCATTTTGCTCATCCAGCTTCTGCTGTAAAGCAACTTCTTTTCTTTTCATTATAGCCTCTCTCTTCTTCATCATCTCTTCCCGTTTCTTCTGAATTTCCTCAATCTTCCTTTGTGATTCTTCCTTTTTCTTCATTAATCCTACATCTTCCAGTCTTTTGAAAGAATCAGCCCTTTTCAACTGAGCCTCAATTCTGCCTGCTGCCTTCAGCCCTCCATTCTCCCACTTGTCATTTGTGCTCTTCTGAATGTCTTCCTCTTTCTTGTGCACTTTCTCTTTCTTCAGGGCTGCCCGCTGCTTCCCTGGAGTAATTTTCTCCTCCTCACGGGGTGGGTCCTTTGGGGGAATGACCTTGATGAGGGGTTCCCTGTACATGCCCGCCTTGGCCGAGTTCAGCACCACCACTTGGCGGAATCCTTTGGGACTCTTTACCTGAATGACTTTATGCCTGTTTTCACTAACTCGCTTGTCCCCAGCACTATCTGTACTTGGATCTGAATTCAATGTGTCCAGTGGCATTTTAGGCACTTCCCCTCCCTTAAGTTCCATACCCTGGTCTTTCAGCACACTCTCCTCCAATGGTTTGCTGTCATTTTCTGCAATGCAAACCTTTTCCTCTTTGCACAAATCACTTTCACTCCCTTCCCCTTCACCTGTGCTCTTTAAAGCTTGACTGTCCTCTTGTTTTACCTCTTTCTTAAGCACAAGGATTTTTTGAGGCTTGATTGCTTTTGCACTTCCCTTCACCATCACAGAATGACTAGAATTCACCTCCCCAATTTTCTGCATTACATCAGGGGTGGAGAACAAGGCCGGTTCAAACTGAGGGATCGGTTTCTGAGTTATGGATTCCTTTTTCAGAGCCTTTTTCTTTCCTTCACCTCCCAATCCTTCCTCTCTCATTCTATTGGACCCTGCAGCTATTTCCTGCCCTTCAGCTAGGGAGCTTTTAGAGGCATTCTGTACTGTCAAGAGTCCCTCACTGTCACTGGTTTCACTAATTTTCCCTGGAGACTGATCATCATCTGCATCTGCAAATTCCTCCTTGACTGCTGTTGTGGAATCGGCTTGCTTTAGGCCTGCTTCCAAGTCCACTCTTTCAACGTTCACAGTCAGCTGCCTCATCTTCAAACCTGTGAAAAGGTAACAATGTTATTAGGAATTTCTATAAATGTTTTTCATATTTTTGCCACTTTTTTCTAATACATCTTACTGAAAATGAACGAGTACTACAAAAAAACATTTGCTTTTATACTAGTTTTCAAAGTTAAAGATTAAATGTCTTTATATTCATAAATCAAATTTCAAGTTATATGGGGGAGCAATATCCATATTTATATCTATATCTGAATGTATATATTTATCTACGTACATAAAAGATTAACATAGTTGAATATCTTTAATTTTTCTAAATCTTTATCTAATTATAATACATAATTAGCATTGAATAAAAATAGTACTATTCTTATGATAATAATGGGTATCACATCAATT